CCAGGGCCTCAGAAATTCATTTGCATTTGTGACAATTCTTCCTTTAGTTCCAAATCCTTTCCCTGCCCTCTTGGGTCCTAGTATTTTTTTTTCCAGTAAATATTTCAGAAAACTTTTCTCTCTCCAATTTGCCATTTTTATGTCTCATTTGAAAATGTGTTTTCATTCCATTTTTCTTCTGTTATTATTGCAGTAGTTCCTTCTAAAAATCTGTAAGCCAGGCAGGCAGCTTTATGAAAAACCTGTGGACGCAGGACTGCAAATTCCCGCACGCATCCCTGTCACCGTGTGGAGGACGAGTCAGTCTGCAAGGCACGTCAGGTGCTTGCTGTTCTGACTCAGTGTACGGCAGTGGTTGAGTTTCCGTTGACCAGAACCTCGCCGTGAGGAGACAGGCCCGGATCAACTCCCTGGAGTCGGCACCTCCCTGGGCCTGGACGTCCCTGGGCTCCGTGTGGAAAGAATTCTGTTGCCTGATGTCGCATCTGATGTGCTCCTGATGCCTTTACCCCACAGGAGGAGCCAGGCCTTCCCGAAGCCGTGAGCCTCTCCCGTCGGAAGACGAGTGGGAGGTGTCAGTGCTGACGGGAAGCACCGGGACTCGGGCCCGGGTCACACTCTGGGTGTACGGGGACGAGGGAGTCGCTGGACCAGTCAGTCTCAGCAAGGACGGCCTGGAGCGGCTCTTCCTCCCAGGACAGGAGGACGCCTTCCGGGTGAGCGGCATTGGCAGTCAGACAGGGTTTTGAACGTTTCAAGGGAATTTCCTTGACACAGAAGGGTGTGGCTGTGTGTGTGCGTGTGCGTGTGCGTGTTCTATATAAAATAAATCTCTGGTCTAGAGTCCCCGTAAAGATGCTAATGCCTGTTGTAATCATCAAAGGAAGCATTTCCCCCTTACATATCTTATATAAGCCGGGAAAGCTGTAGAAGAAAACTGCTTTCTTTAAAGACATTTCCTCTTGGGCCGCTGGTTTGACACTGGCCCCATGACTGTCAGCCTCAAGTCAGACTACAACCAGGTCATAAGCCGGTTAGAGATTCTTCTGGTGAATCCGGCATTTACTTTTAGATGTTGCTCAGCTGAGCTCTGTGGGTGTGACATCATTTTCCTGGCGTCTTCAGAGGCCGTGCTTTGAAGTTCTGCCAGTGCTCGTTGGAATAGCTCTCTCCTTCGCATCAGAAGACACCGGGCTGCGTGGGTCTGCGTATTGCTGGTCGCCTCCCCCAGTTCCTCGGGGCTGTGGGTACATTTCAGTTAGGGCCATCCCATTCCACGTCACGCGTCACCCCCTGCCAGGGGAGTGGGAGGGCTGGATGGTCCCTGGCTCATGGTTAAGGAGCGCAGACATTCTCCCTGGGGAATGAGCCTTTTGTGTCCTAAGGCCGGGCCGAGAGTAGAGAGTGACCGAGGCCAGCTCAAGTCAGCAGGAAGCCAAGGCCGTGTGAGGCTGTGGTGCCTGGCCACCACCAATGCCTGCGTGGTTGCTGGGCCTTCAGGCCTGAGCCCGGCACTCGACTCTTGCAGTCATTACATTTTTAGCGAAGAGAAGCCGACACGAAGTCACGAAGGAGCCCCTCGGCCCAGTGCACAGGCAGGCCTACCTTAGGCAGCACGTCCATTTCAGAAGACTATTTGAAGACAATCGTTTGGAACGCAACATGCATATGTTGTGGGTAGATCCCTGGGCCCCCACCCTGACAAAGTCTCTGATTACCCACAGTGAGCCCTGCAGTGTAGCTGTGTCATGTGCTGGTGAGTCCTGTTGGGGTTTTTCTGGGGAGGTTCGCCCAGGGTCCCCTCTTGGAGCCGATGGGGTAGCTTCTGAGTCGTGCTTGCACATTGGAATCACCTGGGAGCTTCTAACACCGCGGACGCCTCCTCGGTCCACCTGCAGGGATTCTGGTTAATTTTGTCTGGGGCGCAGCCGGGCACTGAGGTTTTGAGGAACTCCCCAGGTGATTCTGAAGTGCAGCCAGGGTTGAGAAGCCCAGCGCATTAGACTGCAGTTGGGTGAGCTGGACTGGCTTTCCGTGTGTTCATGGTGTGACCTTGAAGGTGTCCCTGCTTTCTCCAGGCCAGGATTATTTTTACGTGTAAGGATGGTAGAAATGATACCTGTTTTCTTCTAAAACCCAGCATAGTCTGATGACACAAAGAGGAAATATATATACATTTAAAAAACCCTATTGACATACAGAGAATGTAGTAAATTGGTTAAGAACAGAGGTCTTGGAGTTACAGAGACCAGGCTCACATCCAGATCTAACACATTAATTCTGTGACCTTGAGCAAATTGCTTATCCTCACTAATCTTTGCTTTCCTTCCTAGTATGGAGGGGGTGGGTGGGTCATGATACCACTTACCCTAACGGCTGGTGAGGCCAGAGACTGTCGGGGCACGTGTATGGCGTGCCCTGCCCAGGAGGCGGCCGGTGCTCCCGGAGCAGCAGGTGCCACTGCGGCTCCTCCTTCTGTCTCCTGCGCGGTGGCGTCAGCGTATGTTCTGGCTTCTTGTGAGGTCAGAGCGCTGAGCCCCTACCTCAGCTGCAGGGATCAGGGATGGGTGCGAAAGCCCCAGCCCCGGGAGTCCAGGGCCTTGTGCCCCTGGGCCAGCAGCACGGCCATCGCCTGGGAGCCTGTTAGACCTGTTAGGCCCCAGACCAGGTCTGCTGAATCAGAGTCTGCATTTTAACAAGGTCCTCCAGTAGTTCATTTATAAAACTAGTTTTTTTGGCATCCTTTACTTTCTTTTTATTTATTTATTTTTATTGAAGTGTAGCTGATTTACAATAGTGTGTTAGTTTCAGGTGTACAGCAAAGAGACTCAGTATTTTGGCAGATTATATCCCATTACAGGTTATTGTGAGATAATGGCTGTAATTCCCTGTGCTGTACAATATATCCTGTTGCCTGTCTATTTTATACACAGTAGTTTGTGTCTATTGATCTCCTACTCGTAATTTGTCCCTCATCCCTTCCCTCTCTCCTTTGGTAACCACAAGTTTGTTTTGTATATCTGTTAGTCTGTTTCTGTTTTGCATGCACATTCATGTGTATTGATTTTTAGATTCCATGTATAAGTGATATCATATAATATTTATTTTTCTCTGTCTGACTTATTTTACTGAGCATAATATTCTCTAGGTCCATCCTTATTGCTGCAAATGGAAGTATTTCATTCTTTTTTATGGCTGAGTAATATTCCATTGTGTCTGTCTATCTGCCTGCCTGCCTGCCTGCCTGCCTGCCTGCCTGTCTGTCTGTCTATCTATCTATCTATCTATCTATCTATCTATCTATCTATCTATCTATGGATCTATCTATCTATCCACCGCATCTTCTTAATCCAGTCATCAGTTGATGGGCACCTGGGTTGCTTCCATGTCTTGGCTATTGTAAATAGTGCTTCTATGAACATTGGGATGCATGTATCTTTTTGAATTAGTGTTTCATTTTTTTTCTGAATATATGCCCAGGAATGGAATTACTGGATCATATGGTAGTTCTATTTTTAGTTTTTTAAGGAATTTACACCAGTTAACATTCCCACCAACAGTGTAGGAAGGTTCCTTTTCCTTCACATCCTTTCCAACATTTGTTATTTGTAGACTTTTTCAAGATAGTTATCCTGACTGGTGTGAGGTGATATCTCATTGTGGTTTTGATTTGCATTTCTCTAATAATTAGTGATGTTGAGCATCTTTTCTTGTGCCTGTTAGCCATCTGTATGTCTTCTTTGGAAAAATGTCTATTCAAGTCTTATGCCCATTTTTTGATTGGATTGTTTGTTTGGTTTTTTTGATATTAAGTTGTATAAGCTGTTTGTATATTTTGAAAATTAGCTCCCTGTCAGCTGCATCATTTGCAGATATTTTCTCCCATTCCGTAGGTTGTCTTTATGTTTCATTGATGGTTTCCTTTGCTGTGCAAAAGCTTCTAAGTTTAATTAGATCCCATGTGTTTGTTTTTGTTTTTATTTCTTTTGCCTTAGGATACTAATCCAAGAAAATATTGCTACAATTTATGTCAAAGAGTGTTCCACCTATGATTTCTTTTAGGAGTTTTATGGTATCAGGTCTTACATTTAGGTCTTTAAAGCATTTTGAGTTTATTTTTGTATATGGTGTGAGGGAATGTTCTAATCTCATTGTTTAATATGTGACTGTCCAGTTTTCCCAGCACCTCTTGTTGAAGAGATTTTCTTTTCTCCATTGTATATTGTTGCTGCTTTGTTGAAGATCGACTGTAGGTGTATAGGTTTATTTTTGGGTTCTCTAGTCTGTTCCATTGATTTACAGCCTGTTTTTGTGCCAGTACCACACTGTTTTGATTACTGTAGGTTTGTAGTATAGTTTGAAGTCTGGGAGGGTTATATGTCCAGCCTTGTTCTTTTTTCTCAGGATTACTTTGGCAATTGGGATCTTTTGTGGTTCTATATAGATTTTAGGATTATTTGTTCTAGTTCTGTGAAAAGTGTCTTGGGTATTTTGATAAAGATTGTATTAATCTGTAGATTGCTTTGGGTAGTGGGTCCATTTTAATAATACTAATTCGAATCCAAGATCATGCATATCTTTCCATTTCTTTGAATTATCTTCAGTTTCCTTTATCAGTATTTTATAACCTTCAGAGTGTAGGTTCTTTCACCTCCTGGGTTATGTTGATTCCTAGGTATTTTATTATTTTTTTGATGGAATTTTAAATGGGATTATTTTTTACTTACTCTTTGTGATATTTCATTATTAGTATACACTAATGTTTGAGAAGCGCTGGTTTAGGGCTAAAGGAACAATGGGACCGGGGCCTCTGATAGTCTAAGAACCTAAGTTAGGACTAGCCAGCTCATTCCTATTTGCCCTTTCTTCTGTGACAATTGAGTCCCTTGTTCTTTTTCACCAGCATCATCTACCACTTCTGAATTAGTCTTTCATCCTTCCTTCCTTCCCTCCCTCCTTCCTTCCCTCCCTCCCTCCTTCCCTCCTTCCTTCCTTCCCTCCTTCTCCTTCCTTCCTTCCTTCCTTCCTTCTTTCCTTCCTTCCTATCCTTAAGTGAGCGTATAGCTGTTTTTCAGGACAGTGTGGGACTTCTGATCAGACAGGCTTGGGTTTGAATTTTACTTTTGAAGTTTACTGTGTATCCAGCTATGTATCTTCAGACAAATTACTTAACCCCTTTAAGCTTCTTTGTCTTTGAAGCAGACTCTTCAAAGAGCCTTACTCTTCACAGGGTTGCTGTGCAGAATGGAAGAGACCATGCATGTCAAGCACTCACCACCCCCCCACCCCCCACCCCGGCTGGCACACAGCCAAGGTCACCACGTGGCAGTTCCATTCTCCAGAAGTGACAGGCAGACAGGCGTGAAGTCACATGTGCTTAGTAACCTGACTGTTCAGTTATCTCTGGTTTTTTTTTTTCCACTTAGAATGTGTAAAAAGAGAAAGCTTAGACTTTTGCAGATGGATATTTGGGACAATGAAAAGATATCTAAAATTTGGCTTCCCTTTCAGAGAGAAACCAGGCTGAGACTGTGAAAATGTCTTACTTCCTCGGGTGGGAAGAGCCAGCTTCTGAGCTCCACCACTGAGACCTGCTCTGGGAGTAAGAAAGTGGGAGGAGGCTGTCTGTGGGAGGGTAACAGCTCTCTTTTGCTTCCTCCCAGTCCGTGCCAGCATAGTCCTTGCTCTGGCGGTGCAGTGTTCCCAGGGCTGCCTAGCCCCGCAGTCCACGGGGAGAGTGATGGTGGCTGTGGTGGTGGGCTCTCAAAAAGAGAATTTCTAAGTATGGGGAGTGGTAAGGAAGAGGAGTTCCAATGGCTTCTGGGTCACCTGGCCGTCCCAGCTCTGTCAGTGTCCAGTGCACAGGTAGGCAACGATCCAAGCCAGACATACCAGGCAAGCGCTTACCTGTTCACATCTCTAGTCTGTTGAGGTGAGTGAACAGCTGGAGTGGGAGCAATGGTAGTGGCTATCATTTAAGTTATAAGATGATAAGGTGCATTTTGCCCTTCTGAATCCTCACAGCTCAATGTCCTGGACGTACCTTATTATGCTGAAATTCACTGCTTGTACATCTGTCTCCCTCACTGGACTACACATTTCTCTCAGTTGGGAACTGTGCCATCTCTTTCATCTTTGTATACCCATGGCCTGGCACAATTCCTACATTATTGCATTAAATGAACGTTGATCCAATTGAACTGAAAATTATATGCAGTAGACGTTATGTCCATTCAACACATAAAGAAATTGAGGACCTGAGATGTAAAACAACATAGTTTTACAACATTCAGGATATCATCTGAGCCCAAAGTGATTCCAAAGCCAGTTCTCCACGATGCCACCTGGAGAGCAGGTACTCCTGGACCACAGCAGACACGAAGCAGGCGTGCGTGCTCTGTGCGCAAGTTCGTCCGTCTGTCTTCCTCGAGCTTTAATCATGTATGTCTTAGCCTGTGAGTCTAACAGCGAGGACTTTCAGAGTGGAAGGAAGTTCTAGAGTCACTGATACTTTTTCTTAAGCTTGTAAAGATAGTTATATTTAGCTTTGGCGAAAGTTGCTTTTTTCTTGTTAAAATAAGAGCCCATCTTTCTGTCGTTGGAACTGAGCTCAGAAGTTGCTGGCTTCCAGGGAGAAATGTGTGGTGGTCAGAGGACTGAGCATATGTGTGCTCTTTATTCCATTCTTTCATCTGGCTCCTTTGGCATTTTTTTTTTGTCAAGACTCGTGATATTTCCGTCTCATTTTCTGTGTCTGTGGTGTCCACCCATAGCTTCTTGAGGGAGCTTAATCTCTGGACTCTGAAAGGGTCCCTGAGGGCTATTCAACTACTAGGAGCAAAAAAAAAAATGCATTTAGTAAGAAGAGAAAGAATTTTTTTTTTTAACGTGCTTACTTTAAAACATTCTTCTAATTTTTTTCTTTGCATTTCCTTCAGGTCGAAGTAAGACACGTTGGAAAGATATACAAGATAAGGATAGGACACGATGGGACTGAGTGGAGCCTGCAGAGGGTAATGCCTTTTCTCTCGTGCCTCATGGTTACTCTGTTATGAAAAGAAATAAGCCGGGTTCTTAGAGCAATGACAGAGAGAACACATTTTCCTAATGGTTGTGAATCACGTGAGCGAAATTTCTGTAGATGTTACACTTCCGACAGATGTGGCGCATCCTCGAGAGCTTTTTAAAAACCGCACCTCTGTAGTTACACTTGCAGAGGCAGGCGTGTTCACGGGGGGTCTGCAGACTAGAGGGAAGCTAAGAACGGAAGTGAGTTGTCATCCGCTGATCAGCAGGCGGCCGCGGGGCGGTTCATCTCCTTCAGACCTTTCTTCTGTGAGTCTCGCTCATGAATTCTCTCTCCCTACACACGGCCCCAGATATGTGAGTGCCTATGTACATGTCTACATCGAAGTATTTATGTACGTTTGTACGCATCTTGCCTGAATGAAACTGAATCACGCTGTGGGCGCACTTCGGAATCCTGCCTTCAGTAGTAACAACACCAACCACCCCAGCAGTACTGAGTGTGTGCTGCGTGCTTACTGCGTGCCGGCTGCCCGCGAATACGGTCATGTTTCTGCCGCCTAACGGCTGCTCTTTGATTTCGGTACCACTGATATCCCCATTTTATGGATAAGAAAACTGAGGCTCAATAAAGTTAAATAATTTGAAATATTTAGAATAATTTAAACTGAGTTCACTTAAAGTGGTCTCACTGTACGTTGGACTCTGGGGACTGAGCTCTGAAGCACTATCATGGGCTTAATCTTTGCTTTAAAAAATAGACAGCAATTAAATGCTTAGGAGCTCTGAGATTTCTGTACGGAAGCAGTAAGTATTTGTGGAGTCAGATAACATGGTTTGAATCACAGTACATCTCTGCTTTGTAGCTTTAGATGCTGTGTCTGTCACTGATTCCTTTACAGGAATGTGATGGTATGTTATTTAAAAAAAACTAAGGTTTAAAACTTTGAAAACCACTAATAAAATCTAGCAAATTTATCATTTTTCCATTTAAAATGTTTCTTAATCTTATCTGTGGTTATTATTGTATCTTTGATTGTATAAAGAAAGTAAATGAGAAAAATTTAAATTTGCTGAAATGTTTACTGTAGCATTTCTTAGCACATGACTCATATAATGAAAACTGGCACTTGTACAGTTTAGGAGCGGATAAATATGTTCCAGTCAGTTAGGCAAGAAGGACTTCCTGAGCACCTCACATATGCCCTATGCTGCGCTAAATGCCGGTGAGAATGGGAGGGAACCATGGGGAGGCTTTCTGGGGTTTCTACTTAGAAGCATTGAAAGATCTCAGAGACAAAAAAATGACCATTTAAGAAGAAGATGCAAAACCTATGAAACCCGCAAAATTTAGCAAAATTACAAACTCTGTACTTGTGAATTACTGGCAAAGACAAGCCAAAACGCTTTAGAAAAGACGTCCCCGTTTGTCAAGCTGGCCTGCGATCACTACATGGCTTGAGCTTTCTCTGGGGCCCTTGAGTGAGGGGTGAGTTCAGGGCCAAAGCCATTTGACTACACAACGCTTCTCCAGCTGGAGGGGGAGACAGCCCCAGGCAGGACACTGAGAGGGGCGCTCAGAACCTGGCCAGGCCTCTGCTTTCACAAGACGCTCTCTGTAAACAGTTCCATGGTGACATAAGCTTATGAAACTGAGTTTTTCATTCCTCTCTTGGAGATTTATTGCAATGCATGTTAATATGGTTAAGGCTCTGAGATGTCCTGGGATAAAGAAATCTGTCTAACAGCATCTCCAAACTAAATTTACCCTCGGGCCACATTTGCAGGTGAAATCTATTAACATCCCTTGAAATGAGTATTGAATATCGTGCAGTACTACAGAGGTCTGAGGTATTTGGGGGCCAGTCAAGGGAAAACATGCGACAAGGTGTCAGCAGCAGGAGTGCACAGGTGTACTGCGTGAGGCCCCTACAGATGGGCCTGCGGGGGCGTCCTCATAGCAGGAGTCTGTCCAGAGGGGAGGAGGAGGGCGCAGAGGAGCTCCCAGGGAGAGGAAGCTGAGAGCAGGGGGTTACGTGTCTAGGGGTGGGAGTCTGTGTCACCGAGCTCCAAAGGGCAGCGGCCACCGACAGGGGCTCTCTTCTCAGTAGGAAACAGCTGTTGGGTGAGGCTTCTGTGGGTGTGCAAAGCAGGGGGGCTCTAACTGACTACAGATCTGCTTGTTTGGCCTGTTTTTTATTTTTTAATTGTGGAGAAAAATCATTTGGGCTGTTTCTGTAATGATAAAGTTTGGGCTTGCTGCCAGTGGGCTTTTGAGCTGACAGGTTTTAGTCTGCAGGGAGGAGTCAGCCTGCGGGCCCGTGTACGGAGGCTGTCTGTGACTCCTGTATGTCGCACTTCCACGCGGGGAGATGTGACTTGTGTTTGTATGAGTCCAGTCACACGTATGTGGGGGTCTGTCATTTATATGAAAATGACTAGCTAATGTCTAATCGGCTCTTCTGCGCTCCAGGCCTGTGGAGAGTTCTGGGAGAGGTGATCAACATAGCACTTTGCACCTAGAAGCAGCTGGGTGAGTCACTGATGTGACGGCGTATCTGGGAGGGAAAGACGGGCTCACCCAGGTCTGGTCTTAGTCATTGAGATGATACAAAATTAGAATCAACCGCAGTGTCTGCTTTCGATCTGGCTGGAGAAAGAAGATCACGTAGCAAACACACACTAATTAGGGGGCAGTCAGAGGCTGCGCTGTGTGTCCAGGCCCCAGTCATAGGGGGGTCCAGCAGGAGAAACGCGTGCGCGTAGAGGACCTGGGAAGGCTCTGCGGGCGGGGAGGGCCTTGCGGGGGGGACGTGCGTGTGAGGGCCGGGCAGGGGGAGGCAGCGGGAGGGCGGCCGTTTGGAGATTGCCCGGTTGCCTGTGCCGCACATGGATTATGGTGAAATGCCGTGTCCCGACGTACGTAAAATGACCTGTGCTCCAGTGAGAGGGAAAGTGCCCGTTCGCGAGCAGTTCCTGTATTCCTTGTGTTTGAACGGCATGTATTTCAAAGGCCTAGAATTCGTCGGACACAAGCTGCCTGACCTTGTTTGGGTGGAGTCGGCTGGTAAATGCACTGACTTACAGACCTTGCATCTCCAGGTCTTGCGTTCCTACTCGAGTGTGTAGAGGAATTCTGGGACTGTGACCACCATCTTCCGTCTGATAATTAACGTCCAGTCATTGTCTCTTTTCTCAGTACAGCTTCGCTGGGACTTACCTCTGTGCAGTAACAGGTTCTAGTCGTCTCGATGCGTTGCCAGTGGAACAAGGCAGTGTCTTTACATCGTCTGTATGTTCTTCTTGATCAATATGTCCCTTTTCTTACAGGACACTCCCTCCCCCTCTTTTTTTAACTAGGCCTAGCACAGTCCTACTTAACTTAGCTCTGTGTGTCAGGACAGAACAGGACCGAGCTGATTTTCCTTTCATGCTTCCATGTGTCTGGGTGGGAGGAAGAGAACAACAGATCTCTCCGTTTCGGACTTTGGTGCCAAATTAAACACTAGCACAGACGCGTAAAGGCGTGGACAAGTGCACTCGTGCTCAGAGCCCTTCACCCAGCACTGCCGGGGCCCGCGGCCTGCAGAGGGCTCCTGCCAGGAGGCCGAGCGTGCCAGCGTGACCGGGACGTAGCCGCTGTCTTCCAAGAGTCCCTTCCGCAAGTAACCCGCCTATAAGCCAGACTGTGGCTTAGTTCTCCTTAGAGCCTTGATTTTACCTGTCACATCTCAGTGACAGCTCTCGCTACGTCCGTCTTCCAGAAGATTTACTGAAGGAGCGAGATTGATCTCCCCCGTTCGCTCAGATTCCGAGCAGAAAGGTCGTGCAGCCTGATGGAGGTGTTGTAACCTCAGCGCTGAACTGTGATGTATTGATTCAGGCTCTGTAAATGCTGCTTTGTGGCTGTTCCCGTTACTGTTTTTAGGACGTGTGTTTAACTACTTGGTTGAAATTTCTTAAAGTAATCCAGGAATTTTAGTTTTCTAAGAAAGGAAGAGTGAGTTTTATGGTAATGTTTTCTTGTAAAATGACTAATTCTTGCTGCTCTAAATCAGCAGGGGGAGCTCAGCAAATGAAATTTAGTTTCTATTAAAGCCACTCCTAATGTTGTTCCTATTCATTCAGGAAATTAAAGCAAATGCTGAAGACTTCATGTGATAAAGACACTGCTGTTCCTTAAGCATTTTATTTATTTGTTTGTTTTAAAGGGAAATGAATGTGTGCTTCAATGAAAAAATAATTTGGAAACTCACTCTTTTTCTTTCTCCACATCTATCCCAACAGAAGGTTTGGATTTGAAGCTTAATATCCTTGCGTTATTTTCCCTCAGCCTTACTGACCTTTTTTTTTTGAACGGTATTCATGTTTGGCAGCTTTGTGTCAGAGCCGAAGCAGAAGTCAGGGCTCTGGGTTTCTTTAGCGTAGAAGGATGCTAGACGGTGCTGCAGCCTGAAGGCCGAAAGGAAATACTGTTTTCAAAAAGAGAGTGGTTGGTCCTATGAGGACCAAAGGCTACCTTTCGTGGACGGGGAAAATCTAGGAAGCCCGCTGCACGGCCGTGGCCTGCCCGGAGGGTTTCCCCGCCGACCCTGGGGACTGTGTGCAGCTCTGTTGCCTGTGATGAATGCTTGGAGCCCTTACGGGACATTACTGTTTGGGGGAAGCTAGTGCCTCTGGCAAGTGTTTGTTGCAGTGACTCCCAATGTCTCAAGTTAAAGTGGGTGAAAACGTGCTGTTTTGCTTAGCATTTAGATTTTCAGGAGGGAATAGCTGCCCCGTTACATGGTGCTCTGGCTGTCTGGAGTCTGGGGGTAGATTTTTACATCGCTCACAGTTTGGAAGTTCTTTTCCTTGATCATGCTTTAGGTACCTCACTGGAGATCTGACTTGCCATTTCAGCCAGAATAATACACATTAATCAATTATGCCAGCCAGCTTCCAAAATACTGATATAAATTATTAATCTAAGTCACTGAATTGATTCCAGGTAATATATAGCTTGGATGCCAAATAGAATGGCTATTAACTAAACATAGTCATATGGTAATTAACTTCGAATATTGAACAAAAGAGGGGGACAGTCCAGTTCAGGCAGGCCCCGGAGGACAGGAGGACGGAGGAGGAGCTGCATGCTGGCCTAGGGGAGGAGGGGCCGAGGAGGCCTTTCTCTGTCCTCCCCAGTAGTCCTGGCCTGCTCGTTCCAGTACAGCCAGGGATTTGGAACAGAATTTCAATTTCTGATCATAAAGAACTGAGCATTTGGCTGAAGTTCTGCTGTGTGTTAGAGAGTGAGGAGCCACAGCCGATCTCAAATAACAGCAAAGAAGTCTGACCTCTAGTTTATGGGGTTAACTGTGACACCACCACACCAATACCCCCGTACTGAGCGCTCAGGGGACAGATGACCACCTTTACTATGGAAACCACAGCAAGGCAGGTCATGTTATCGGCCCCGTTGAGGTTACCGAGGGCTCTGAGCTGATGGGAAGCCATCTCCAGCCCCAGGACGGGCACGCGGATTTGAGGAGAAGGGGTCTGACTCTGAGGCACACGCACCGTCTGCGTACTGCCCACTGGACAGATCAGATGTTCTGAAAGGAGTCTCTCTTACCTTACTCCCAGGTGTTACAGTCCACACTTGAGAAAGCTCTGCTGTGGGAAATAATTTCCTGCTTATCTTTTCTATAAGGCATTTGAGTCTCGTTTTATTACATAAAGCACTCCCACCCTAAAACATTCCATCTTCGACCTGGCAAGGCAGGTATGAGGCCAGTTTTGCCAGTGAGGACCTGAGGGACACAGATCACCATGTACATGTTCTACCCAAGGCTGCACACCTGCAGCAAGGTCGGGGCAGAAATCAAGGTCTTTTGGTCCAAGTTCAAGTTCACTGCACTTCCCACACACCCTTTACTGCGTCCTGCCGTGAGCTGCCGTATGACTGGGCTTGTGCGTCGTGGTCTTCCAGGAATTTTGACCTCCTTTATCACTTCAATAATTTAAAATGTTTTGTTTGTGAAAATAAAAATAGAAGTAAATACAACAGGAGGTAAGTTCAATGGATGTATCTATCTCCCTTTACCCACATCACTGTTTAATTATTGGCTTATCTTCCAATAATTTCTGTCGTAGGACTTTTCAGCTTGGACACTGTGGACTTTTGGGGCTGGTTAGTTCTTTGCTTTGATGGGGGGTACAAACTTTGCATTGTAGGATGTGTAGCCACACCCCTGGCCCCTACCCACCAGAAATGTCTCTAGACGTTGCCTCATGTCTCTGGGAGCGGCAGAATTGCACCTCATTGCTGTACCTTCTTATTGCTTAAAAATTAACTTTGCTTTGTTAATTTTTATTTTAAAGCATCATGACTCTGAAGGTAAATGGAACCCACTCAGAGGCCTCACCCTGAAAAGGCTTTCCAGTGGAGTTAGTAGAATTGCACTCACTTAAGTACAGCGACTGAGGCGTCTCACCCGAGGGCGCTTCTACGGGCGGAGGGGTTGCTGGTGCCCAGAAGCTAGAGGCTTCTCGCCACTTTCCATAGAAAGTTTAGTGTGGAGGAAGGACCTGCTGGAGTTTTAGGTAGAAGGACCTGATGGAGTTTTAGGTAGAAGGACCTTGTAAACCCTGATACTTCATGGGGAAGACTTCACGCCTAGACTTCAGAAGACTCCCATTCACCCATTTATGACCCTTGTTTATCTGAAACATCTAATAGGTTCCATTGGAAATTATTCTTACTGTTTCCTAATGTCTGTGTTATCCCAAAGCCCCACCGAACTTAGTGTGTGCTAGTAAGTGCTTATCGCTCTGCTGCTTTAATGTAGCCTTCTGTTATTTAAATATTTGGGGTCTATATTTCACAGATAATCTATGAAATCCCCTTGGTGGTCGAGGCAGTTTCTTTTTGTTAAACTCCCAACCATACCCTGTGCAGTGCCGTGAACACCCACCGTAGGAAACGTCACCGTGAGAAGGCCAAGGGTCTGTGTGTCCTTCTCGGGTCACCTGCACACAAGCCCCAGGGGGCTGGAGATGCCCCGCACCCTTGGTTGGCTCTGTTTGTTTAGGAATTCTCTCTGGCTGCTCCTTTGAGGAGTATGTCCCTCTACACGGCTGAGGACGTAAGTTCTCTCTTTTTATTCTGAATAAAAGCAAAGTAATAGACATCATAGTGGCTCCAGGAAGGAAGATAAGATTAAACACCATCTCCCATAACATAGAGCCTCTGCTGTGGTGCGTGGATCACCCGCTTCCAGTCATCCACAGCTTCTGTCACTCTGGTTGCCACGTAAGCCACCCAGGCTCTGAGTTTCAGGACCACTGGGGCAACTGAAGTTTCAAAATTCAGACACAGGGCTGAAAATAATTTCATTTGAGCATTGTGTCTGATTGGGATTAAAAAGCATGAATCTTTATGATTGTTCTCTGTCTCTTCATGTTCCTGAATTTCCCACTGAATTGCTAGCTGTGTGCAGCTGCTGTATGCAGTGAGATAGTCTAGAAAGGGGGCAGTTCCATGTGAAGTAAAATACGTTATGTTAATCTCTTTAGTATTTATGAGTGTATCCATGTACAGATTTGGCTGAGGTTAAGATGAGTTGTTTACGTAGTTTGCGTAAAGCTTTGCACATTTCTCACATATAATCTCATCTAATCTTCACAACGGCTGTGGGAGAGAGTCACTACTCCTGTCTTCAGGGCAGAAGTGTGGTTCTCGGCGTGGTTACGCAAATGTCTCATGGCCTCATGGCCAGACAGCTGTGAAATGGAAGATCTAGATTTTGGACCCAGTTTTTTTGACTCCAGACCCAGTGCTCTTTTCACAGCCTCTTGCCGAGAGCAAGTAAAGACACAGTCAGGCACTAGTGATGAGGCATGCTGATTCATTTAGCTTAATTCCCTCTGCTGGCAAACACCCTTCTGCTTTGTTATTTGTTTAATCATTCACTCAACAAACCCCCTCAGGACTGCCTTGTGAAAGCCTGTGGAAGCGCCGAGATGAGTAGGACATGGTCTGTCCCATTACGGCAGTCAGGTGTCACGTCATAGTCACCAGTGAGTAAGTCGCCACGGATCATGAAGTCGGGTCACCTACATCTGAGCTGTGTAATTAAGGACGGACAGGTTCAGCAAGGCAGTGAGTCAGATGAAAGCTGCTCTAGCAGAGATCCAAGTGTGCGTGGACATTCTGAGGCGAGAAGGAACGTGGCCAGGTCGTGGAACCATGAACAGGTCAGCGTGGCCGGATTCCAGGGTGCGGGGCTGTCAGCCTGGGCAGTGGTGGGGCCTGCTCCCGAGGCCTGGGGCCGGGGGCATTCAGGAGGACAGAGACTCACTCAGGAGATAAACTAGAATCTTCCAGGGGGAGGCCGCATCTCCACTGTGATGGGAGGAAAGGCAGGTGTCGGCAGCGGTCCTTCCAGATGTCCTCCACTGAGACGTGGAGGTAACAGCGCGCACCTCCTGTGCGCTGGGCACCAGGGGAGCGAGTACCCTGGGCTGGGGTCCGGCGTGGGCTCGGCGGGCGGGGGCGAGGGCAGCCTGCCGTTCGCTGATGGGCAGGCTCTCAGCGGCCTGCAGGTGTCACGCACGCTTTTAGGAGGCATTCAACGTTCACAGAATCCTGCCAGACGCCTGCTTCGGTGACAAAGATGAACACACAATCTCCTTCGGCGTCCCTTCTATAGATTGCTTCTTTAGCATCAGCTGTTAAGTGAAACTGAGAGTCAGACAGCGTCCATTTCAAGTCTCCAAGCCTCCGTTTTCTTATCTATAACATCGTAAGAACCTTACCAATCTAACTGCCGATGGTTAAAAGATACAATTAAAACAAACCACTCAGCATAGTACCTGGCGAATGATGATACCTGGCGAATGATACTTGCCTAACTCTACTGCTGCCAGCAGCCCCCGGGTGCGCACCGGGGTCTGGCAGTCCTGGGGGTGGGGATTTAAAATTCTGGGTCCTGTGGGAAGTTGGAACTCATGCAATGCAGTCATTGTTCTTTCTAATCTCAGGTGACCATGCAGCACACGAGGAGCAAGAAGAGGCTAGATTTTGCAGCGAATGTGTGGCTATCGCGAATCCAAGCAGAGGGGGACATTGTCTGCGAGCTTCCTGTAGTGAAAGGCGGACAGGCTGTTTTTCCACGTGCGTTATTAATCCCCGGGGGCACACATTGCACGTACAATCTGCTTTTTTAATTGTTGCTTAGATTTACTTCTGAGCTGTTTAGTTACAGAATATATTTTTCTCCTTCTAAGAGAGTTGTGGGACCCCTTGAGAAGTGACTTTTTCAGCATCGCAGCATGAGTCCCTGGTGGATCTGGGATTACACGTAACCACAGAAAGATTCTTACGGTCCAGCGACAGCCGCAGGGGCTGCGGTTACGAGAAAGAAGTCATGTCTGTGCCTCATCTGGCGTTGCCTGGGGCCCGTTGGCCAACTCATGTCACCGCTTCACTTCTGAGGCATTCCCTCATCAAACCGTCCTTTATTTTAAACTTTAAGCATCACGTCAAATAGCATGTGTCTCCCTTCCACTAAAATACTAAACACGAGTGTCCTCTTGTGTCATACAAAGAAGAGCTTTTTAAAAAAACGTTTTTATTTGTACACAGCTGGCTTGTGGTGTAAAAATGCCATTTATAATTAAAATTAATCATTGAAAGATCAAAAAAAAATCTCTCCGTAGATACAGAAAGTCCAGATGATTTTTATATATTGTATATATAATACAGTGATTTTTACTGTCACCTGCCCCGCGGATCTCGGTTCTGTCCGTGTGAACGCCCAGGGGATGCATTTCCTTGTCTCTCTCCCCTTTGCTTTGCCAGTGGTGAGATACCTTGTTGACGTCCACACTGGGCAGCTGAAGCAAGCAGGAACGGAGTCGGAAGTTTCCCTGTGTCTCTACGGGGAGAGGGGAGACTCTGGTCTCAGGCTGCTGTACAAATCCAACATGCCAGTGAAGTTTCAAAGAGGACAGGTGCGCCTGCACAGAAAAGTTCCCCACGTTCTTAGTAAGCTCCCCACGGGTCTGGCCGTGTATGATTGAAGGTTGAAGAGTGCTTGGCAGCCTGCACGTTTTTGCTTTGGAATGTCTTTAGCACAGGTGTTCCTGACCTGACTTCCCAATGTGCTTTGTTTCAGAAGTTTTTCTTGAAGGAAAAATGGAACGCACTCTACCAGCAATGAATAATAGAACAAAGAAAAAGACATTAAAAATTAGTGATGGTCTAAGGGGAAAAACGAGATGATGTCAGGGAAAAACAAATGTGAACGTGCCTTGTCGGGACTGAGATGTGTAAAGCCTTATTCTAAGAGGTCAGGTCACGGAAGGGCTGTTACAGGATGTTTCACGTAATAACAACAGTCTTTCTTTAAAGCATCCTGAATGGAGCCGGCTGTGCCATTTTCACACCTTAGAGCCGTTCTGTTTCCTTTTGTGCTTTATAGACACACATGAGTCTTTCTATACAGTAGATGTTTCAGGAGTTGCAGTGACATATATAATCAACTCTGTCAACTTTTAATGTTATTTTGTTGTATATAGAAAAAAAGGTACTGTCTGAGGGTCTGAGATTAAGAATAGGGGTTACATAAAGCAAGGGTGTATTTTTAAGAGAGAAGGCTCCCAAACCAGTTTGAGAGTTTCTCAGACTTTTTGTGGCTGGAGTTCCTGGGATATTTTTGAAACATCAGAGACCAAAAGCTCACCTGAGCCCTTGTTTGTCACTGCAGGTGGCACAGGAGCTTTCAGCACGATGAGGGAAGAAGCACAGTTAGGTCTGGTTTGACACGATCAGTGTCTCTGTTTAGAAATGAAGATCCCAAGATGCTCTTTCACAACAAGCCCAAGACCGTGCTTCGCGTCATTCACAGAGGACGGTGTCGGAGAGGGCTTACTGGAGAAAGAAAGGGGGAGAGAGAGAAGGAAGGGAGACAAGAAGGAAGGGAGAGAGACTTGCCCCCCGGGCCCCCGAGAAAGTCGTGGTTCACGGAGGCCGGGGGTGCCCTGGGACCACACGGCTGCCCGCCTGGCCACCTCGTAGACCGTCACGGGCAGGAGGCTGGCGAGAGCAGAGCCGCAGTCCGGGAGCCTTCGTGTTCAGTGTAGTTGCTACACTGCGCGCTGCTCCGGGGGGGAGGTAGAACTCCAGGGGAGAAAAAAGCGTGGCCAGAAATACACTTTTTAAAGACATTAAAAAGGAGCGGTCTGCCCGCTTTTCTCTCCTCGTCACCCGTTTTGACGCTGACCGTAGTAACGTGTCTCTTCTGAAGACCTGCGCTGCTCTGCAAGCCCTGGGCTGTCGCTGCAGCCCTCGCCGGCCGCGCGGGGCTCACGCCCGCCCTGTGGGGTTTTTCTGTCTCCTGCACCAGGTCGATACGTTTCAAGTAGAAGCAGTGTCGCTGGGAAAACTGCAGAAGGTGCTGTTGCGCTGCGAGGCCGGTGACAAGTCGCAGTACTGGTACTGCGACAAGGTGGTCGTCAGGGAGCCGGGCACCATGTCCGAGTCCGTCTTCACCTGCGAGAGGTATGCGGGTCCCTGAGCGCTGCGATGTGCGTGTGCGTGCATGTGCGTGTGTGTGTGTGTGCGGGTTTTATGTCATTTCCTGACTTCCTCATTCTGCACCACCCACTGAGAGTTTAAGTAAATAATCTATTGCTAAGTATTAGAAGGGAATCTTACCTTGTAGCTTTTGATTATTTCAACGTGCTATGTGTCACAGAAGGATAAAAAGTTTACCCCTGAAATGACTGCATCAATTGTGAGAATGTTTGTTAAAATGTTGGTTTCTTGACGTTACTAAAATTGTAGTGTTCTAAGAATTTCATACCTGAATTAAGCAAGGAGAATTTTAGGGAGGAGCCTCAGAACAGAATGTAAAGAAAGACACAGATGGAAACCTAGATAACACGAGTTTTCCCTTGAGCCTCAGAAGGAGAAGGCAGGAAGCAACTCCCTCCATCCCTGACCTGACCCTAAAGCCTTCAGGCTAAGCCTCGCCCTCCAGATCCCTGCTGCGCCCTGTTTTCTCAAGAACACCCGGCTTCAGCTGCCGGGGGAGGGGCTGGGCTCCAGATGGGGTTGAATAAGGACAGGTTTCTTCGTGGAAACCCGCTCTCGCATGGACACGGGGCGTGCAGTCTTGGGCTCTGTTTTGAGGTTTTGGATCTTCAGTGTTGGGGCTGCCTTACAGCCTTTCCAAACAGATGAGCAACAGGAAATGAAGCCAAAACAAAAACCAAAAAGCAGGCACATACGGGGCTTTGGAAAATTCAAGGGGACGGGTTTGGAGATGCCAAAGCCATTACATCTCTGACTGTACTTCAGTTAAAAACAAAAGCCTTACCCCAGCAGTATTAGACATAGAATCTTCCTGGAACCCATGGTTATATGAAAAAAGGGGGGCAAAAAATAGTGACAGTCTTGCCCTAAAAGTTTTCGAGAAAAACTGAGGGGGGGATTGTTCTTAAAGTGATATTTTAATTACATTCTCCCCCTGTTCATATATCTGTATTCATCTCCATTGCCTACTGAAACCCAGACCAAAAACCTTCATGATCTCTGCATCCAAGGCTCTGCACCCCCGACTGCATTCATTTCCCCTCCAGTTCGTTTTCACAGTTGTCCTTTCACGGGTCTCGGTAGAGTCAGACCACCTCCCGGGCCCTGACGGGGCTGTTTAGTTTTGCTCTGTCCCTTGGACGGAGCTGTTCCCAGGTCAGGAACGCCCCTGCTTGCTCTGTCTGTGTGTCCTGACGCTGACCCTGTCCATCCCTTGACTCCCATTCGCATCCTGCCACCAGCAGGAGCTGGCTGGCCCCGGGAGCAGCAGTGTGTGTCTCCCCAGCGCTTACTCAGAGCTAAGCCTGGCACAGACACCACCAGCCGCTGAGTGACACGCCGCGCTGAGGAGGGCTGGCATCACGCCCCAGCCCTCTCCGCCCTCAGCACACGGCAGCCTGGGGTCCGGCCGGCAGCTGGGTTTTATCCCCTCGGAGAAGTCGGGGCTGATTCATCTGGGAGTTTCTCCTTGGGTTCTTAGGTTCTAATCGACTTCATCACATCAGTTCAACTGCTTTCTTTTAATTATGACGTCTCCTGGGAATACTTTAATGCCTTCATCACACTGTCACATGTCCACACCCACACCACGCCCTGGGGCTGCCCACCGCCCCGGCCCACCACCGTCTGCACTGCCTTCCTTCCTGCCTGGCCTCTGCCAGCGTGGCATGGTCTGCGAGGAGGAGACCTAAGTGGTAGCTTAGTTTAGCTCAGTGGATCGTAGCTGAAAAAATTTCAGTTATAAAGTACATCAAGCGGCCCCGAGGGACACAGCCGCGATGCGCCGCCCTGCCGTAACGCGCGCTGACGTCTGGTGTTCGGCGCGCAGCGGCAGGTCCCGAAGACCCGGTGGCCAGCGCGCCTCTCGCAGCCCCTGATGGGGAAGGAGCGTCGCAGAATGCCTCCTTCCTGCCTGTGGATATAAAGAGAGGAGGCAGGTCCCACTTCCTCAGTCCTTACAGCAGCAGGAGAGCAATAGAACTCAGCACAGCGGGGCCTTTCTGCAAAGACCGCCCTGCGGCCGCCCGGGTGCTTCTGCACCGTCAGAGCCTCCTCTCTGCAGGCGCAGGGTCAAGGACGGCTTCCCAAAGGCAGGGGCCACTCTGGAAGGTGGCTCTGACCGCAAGGAGACAGGCGGCGCTGCAGGCCGGGGCTGGATGCATGGTCTCCTCTCAGACCTGGGGGGCGGGGGCGGTGCTGGCCCCCTCGTTCTGGGTGATGCGCTCTGGGGTGCAGGCAGCGGTCGTGCACTTGACGCCTCCTGAGGGGACAGGATTTACAGCACAGCAGAACTGGGGCAGAGGGGAAGCCGGCCGCGAGCCTGTTCCTTTCATAAACGAAGGGGAGGATTATGAGCTGAAACACAAGGCGTAGCTGCGGGAAGAGGAGGCTTCTGAGCATCACAGATGCTTCCTGCGAGGACTCTCCACGTCTCCTTTTCTTTTTTCCCCTCTTCAATGGGACACCCACATCCTTATGGTCTTTGTTTTATTTCTATACCTGAAGATTTCATTTTCCTGCCTTCTGTGCCTTTAATATAGGAAGAGTATACACCACCGAATTTCTACCATTTCACGTAAGATTCGGCTGTTTGAGGTTTGGAGCAAGCAGAATCTGTATGTGCATCAGGCAAACATTCAGCTGACTAGGAACTGAAGTAAATGTTCTTATTTACTATTTGTATTGGCTTCCTGTGAACGCTGTAACAAAACTCTACAAACTTGGTGGCTTGAACCAACGGTTCTGGAGGCCAGAAGTCTGGAATCCAGGTCCGCAGGGCCCTGCCCCCGGGGCGGCTGGGGGATGACCTTTCTTGCCTCTTCCAGGGCCCCCACTGCCCGGTGGTGCCCGCCGTCCTGCCCATTCCTTGGTTGGCAGCTGCACCTTCTCCATCTCCGCATCCTCGTCACACGGCCGTTTTTCCAATTGACGTGTGTGTCCGTGTGACTTCTCCTCTTCTGATAGGGACACTAGGGCTAACCTCACTCCGGTGTGACCTCATCTTAATCAGTTACACCTGCAAAGAGACTCTTTCCAAAACATGGTTACATTCTGAGGTTCTGCGTGGACATGGATCTGGGGGCCCTGTTTGATGAGTGTGCTGAGTGGATCCCACAGTGAGTACACTGCAAGTTTACAGCATTAAATCAGAGATCTCCAGACTCTTCTGTGTGTCGCCAAACTTGGGGTCTTGTGTACACGTGCTTGGGCACATGTGTGTGTGTGTGAACTTTAATAACAAAACCATTAAGAAGTTAGTACAGCAAGTGTCCTCCACGATTGTGTTGGTTAAGCCGCTTGACCTAGGAGGGCAGCCCTCAATGTCGCCGGCCTGTGCCCTGGCTGGTTTGGGAAAGGACACTGACGTGAGCTTGTGGGTGCAGGTTATTTGAAATGAAGGCCTACCTCGGCAGTTCTAAACGGGAGGAGATTTATGGATGCAGGAACCGAAAAGTTAAACACAAATGCATGATGTTTAAAAAAACGACCGAGCTTGACTTGTCGAGCGGAGCAGCACGCCCAGCTTTGTCCTCATAAAACCAGATCATGGTCAGGGAGGCGGGTGACCTGAGGCACGTCCCCTGCAGAGTGTGGGCCAGCCGCTGCGCCGCGGTCCCCAGGGCCGGGATGGCAGCTCATACTTGTAAAGGGTCCTGGCCTCATTTCTATTCAGAACTCTGCACTTTTTTTTTTTTTGAGAAAAGTTGAGATCATTTCCTTTGTGTAAAAATGGAAGAAAAGAAGACCTGAAAAGCTCTCCGCTGTGGACAGAATAGACTGTCAGCGGGTCCTGGATACTTTCTGGAGGCAGAATGCCACCTCCACCCCAGGCCCACGCGCACCATTCCCTGATCCTCTACTAATTACTAATTGTCACAAGAGGGTCTGCGGCCCCATGGAGATGCTGCCCCTCCCTGCAGGCACGTGAGGCGAGGGCTGAGCGGAGGAGGGTAGAGAGGCCCCTCGCACCCTGGGGTGGCTCCCTGTTCAGACTCCCCGGCACGTGCTGGCGCCTCTGCCAGCCCAGGAGGCTGCAGGCTCAGTCCCTCTGCTCCGCCGGCCTCCCAGTGCCTTTGTCAGCCGTGATGTCCCGCCGTGCTGGCCCCGCTGGCCCCACCTCCCCCGCCCTTCCCCGGGCCCAGAGCCTCGTGGTCTCACTGGTGGATTTATGGTGAATAACCAAAAGGTGTATCACTCTGCCTGGGAGCCTTTCCTGCAGCGAGGGTGGCTGCCCAGGAAGCCTTTACCAAAGCTCCTCACCCTAACCCAGAGCCTCCTACACTCAGGGCTATGTCTGTTATAACGTCGAGCCCGCCTCTTCTGGCCCTCAGAAGACTTTCCTCAAGGTGGGGTCAGTGGTCTTGTATGTTTACTTTCCGTCTCTACCACGTTTCCTGGAAGAGGATGGGTTAAAATTGTATGGTGTGCGACTGAACCAAAGGGCGGGTATTCATCAAGACACCATAAACCCTAGGGGAAGTCACATTAAAGGAGGGATTTGACATTAGAACATGAAATCTAAAAGGTTTAAATATTCTTAATCTCACTAAGATGTGTAAACAAAATTACCACTTAGTATTCATTTGTAAGTGTTAACGCAGTACCAAAGAGTGCCTCTTAGAATTAGCACAGGAGTTAAAACAATAAAAGAAGTCTGATGTCCCACTGGTAGACAGACTTAAGCAAAACGTGCCTTCTGATATGATTTCAGGATCCCTCAGTCTGGAAAAGCTGAAGTTACTGGTTGGTCACCGCCGTGGGGACCTCTCTGCCTTCGCTGTCTGGTGTGTTTTCTGTGGCTCCATCTCGGCAGCCTCACGCATCAGCAGGGCTGCATCTTGATGCAGGAGGTTCTTTTTTAAAAAAAGAATTTGTATTGAAGTGCCATTGATTTACAATGTTGTGTTAGTTTCTGATGTACAGCAAAGTGATTCAGTTATACATGTAGATATTATTTTTCAGAC